ACACTTAGAAAGGTGTAGCTAAGGGTTAAAGATCCCAGTGAAGTAATATCTGTTATAGCAGCCAGGTTAACTCTGCTACTGTACATGGGTACCTAATGTCTCCAGATCTACTCTACATGTATAAGAGCAGTATTAGTATCACCGGAAGAATCTGCACCCCAGCTTATTTCACCTAAAGATTAACACCCCAATGTTAACCCAACCTCATCTCCCCATCTAGTGTTACGGTGGTTAATCTTGAAGTAAATTAAGTTGGGGTGGAGATTCTTCTGGTGATTCATATTATCTATCAGTCTTTTGTCTGTTCAGGCCAGAAAGAAAATGAAAACTAGCGAGCACTGAGAGTTGTAGTGATCCAAACATCCAGTATAACGAGCTGTTACAAGAGAAGCTGTCCCAGTACTAGGTGGCGATTTAGTACTTGTGGCATGCTGCCAAAGCTCCCTTATTACATGCATACCTGTGTACAGTACTGTTTGTGTCTGGGGTCTAGGATTATATATACTCCTCGGACTTGTGATTTTTATATCAGATTTAGTCTCTAGGGGAGCCAGAAAGTTGTGGAGAAGAGTTTTCCATAGAATATGTTAAAATCAAAGGTGAGATTGACTTGCCTTCTCAACATGTGCTTTGGTGGCCATTTTGATGAAAACCAAACTGCTCATATAGGAAGAGCTGTGACTGGCTGCAGATGTTTTGCACTGACCAGTGATAAGTAGTGTGCATATATGTACAGTTTTGAGTTGCCGGGATCAGCCAAAGTCTGTAGATGTGCAAAAATTACAAATTCTTCGCTGCATTTAAGATTTCCTGCACCAACACTACACCTACACAAAACTATGAGGAATATAACAAAATTATAAGTGAATAAATTACAGGTGCAGTATTCTGACTCACCACAACCAACATAAAAGATGACCCAGCAAAATGAAGTCAAGTCAAGTCTAATGTACTGTACTCTGAATGTGTTTGTGAAGAGTAAATCCTAACCTTTTCCTGAAGAAATTTTTATCATACAGTTGTGTATGTAGTCTACTTTCAGTGAATGTGATCAGGTACAGAAGTCTGGTGCTGTCCAACTCCAGGCCAAGTCTTATCTTGAAATAGTCAATGTCTATGTACATTCGCTCCAAAAAGTATCTTTAAAATTTTGCACTAGACAATATGACACAACAGACGAAAGATTTTGACAACCCTAGCGAGCCAATTGGAGTCACAGTGTTCATTTTGAAATTCATTGGATCACTCCATAAAGATACTTTTTGGTTGGAGTGTGTGTACAAAAGTTTGAACTTGTGTCAGTTCAAATTTACCTTTAATGTACAGTCTCACCCAAAAGTTTGTTAACTCTCCCAGCCCAAGTTGTTGCTGCACTGCCTGCTTCAGATGTATGAGCTTGAGTCTGTTACTTCGAACATTTAGATTCATTATATCGGTGTCATGTTCTGGTTGGTACTGAGACAGTTTCAAACATCTGAAGCAGACAGTACAGCAACAGCTGGCTGGGAGAGTTAACCAACTTTTGGGTGAGACCGTACAGGCCTAACATATTAAATGAATATATACATACACTTTACATTACCTCCCTCCCTTTCCTTACACCCATCTCCCTTAATCTTTTGTCAGACAGATAGACATTAACCTAAACACACAGACAAGACAAGACCCAGTTCTGTACATTCACCCTAACACCAACCTCATCTCTGCTGCCTCAACACAGAATTTAAGTACAGTTTTATGCATAGTCCTCAAAAGTTACTTCTAAATCTATACCGTACAGTATTCCATTTACAAAAATACCTTGCCAGCCTTCTCTTGTGGTAAAAAAAAAAATAAATCTAGATAATACAGTAGGGGTGAACATTTCCGATATAAATTGACAATATCTTTTATAGAATGTCCTTCCTTTTTCTTCCTGAACTGAACTCTACGTGTGAGAACTATTTACCATCAACAACCAATAGATGTACACCACTGCCACTTTTCAACGACGCTAAAGTCATTCAGCCCGCCCCCCCTCCCCCAGCAAAAAAAAAAAAAACCTGTACAATGCAGTTTCTCGATTATATTTCACATCCAATTTGGTATAAAACAAAATTTCTGGATAACAATTTGCGCATATTGTGGTACAGTATAAAACTTATTACTCTACATACTTGGAAGACTTGACTTCTGACAAAGATTTATAGCTTGTGTCGTGGACTCATGTGCGGCGATGGCAAAATCAATATTAACGTGAAGTTCCATCAATAAACACAAAACACTGAAGATGCACAAGGGGAAAAATTCAGGGATATTATAAGAAAAGGTCCCCAAATAACTTGAGATGTAAATAAACCCAACCTATGAAGAAAGGCCTGATTTATGGTTTCATTTTGGTAGTTTCTCCCACATAAAATCCCAACAACAAATCTGGAAAGAATAATAGGTAGTTGAGGAGGGAATAACAGGGAGTCTAGGGGAATAATAAAGAGCCAGGAGGAAAGTTACAGGATCTAAGAGGTATTAAATGGGGGAGGGGGTAATTTATCAGAGCCTTCACAATCTGCTCCTATAAGTGTACAAGTCAACTACTAAAGTCCGTTCGCTTCTCTCTTCCCGAACCACAAACCATTAGATTCAGACTCGTGAATCCCAAGCATCAATGGAGAGAATAATGTATCAGTCTATGGCTTTGGGTTCACGAGTCTAAATATTGGGGTTCGTGGTTCAGGGGAGAGAGAGAGAGAGACAAATGGACTTTTGTAGTGGAGGGGAAGAATATCACAAGCCTTTGGATTCTGCTCCTGTAAGTGCAACAACTACTGAAGAAGTGAGGAAGCCAAGTCTGGTGGCTCTGTGTCTGTATTTTATCAAGGCATTCAAGTACTCGTGATCTTGATGATATACTCGGTAAGTATCAAAACAAGTAAGTTGGATAAAACAAACAAAATTAAGTTCACTTAAGCCGGATCAAATACATCTCGTGCTGGATATTCCACTACGTAATTAAACACAGCAAACTAAAACCCAATATTTTTGTTACAAGCTGTCAATTTTTGAAACAACATAAAGTTTAGAAAGAAATCAAAGTACTAGATATTATCTCTATGGGTATAAACAACAGCAAAACAAAAGACTGACTACGGCACTTATCAATACATGCAACAACCAACATGACTCAAAAGTTAGTACAATGGAATTTTAACTAGTGATAACCTGCATGATAAGTGATGACATACGACCCTCTGATCTCCCATAACCCCGAGGGAATGTGATAAAGTTACTTTTACAAGATGCTGTTACCTCACAAAATTCAAAATGTGGATTGACCCTGGAAATCCCATTCTATAACCGGATCGGGACAAGAAGACCTTTTGTACTGTATTGCAGCCGTCAAGTCTGTCGCTGATTGACCCACATTAACACTCAACACTGCTGTCTGGTATTGTACTCATCAAACATTTGCCAAAACCTTGTTGCCTTGACAATAACTAATGAACCTTACAGTAGTATAGGTATTACTGAAGGCTGCGTGGTGGAGTCTTGGCACCAGTAACCCCCACAGTCTCACCACCACTGTTTGTCACTCATCACACCACATTTACAGGACCCAGAACTACTCCCCACAACAGACCCACTGGGAGAATGGATACAATCTGAATCCCTTTGTTCTGATTCTCTTATGGATATTCAGAATTAATCCAGCTATCATAACCTTGAGATGCTCCATGGAAACTCAAGAACCTGCAACCAACAAGAAGAAAGGAGACACGAATATAAAGTTGTAATCCCTAGCTACTGTGACTAGGAACCCAAAGGAGGAGGCACAAGACCCCTACAATAAATAATAAGATATAAACCTTACAAATTCCCCCAATGCCAAAAGCCTCGTAGAACTTCCTGGCTGAGGCAATCATATATGCTACGAAAGTATGAGGTTAAAAATTAAGTTCCTAAAAATTCCAAATAAGGAAATATACCACCAATGATGTTGAAACAGAAGGGGATCCCAAGTCAACACACAATGAACCTAAAGAAGGGTTTTTGACTCATCTGTGGAGTACAAGAAAGAGTGCGATATATACCCATTAACCAACATGTATTAGGTGTGAGCCCATAACCTGTAGGGGCGAATTCCTGAAGTAATATAGCATAGTACTGTGCCCAAAATAGGGATCATGGAACCCTAATATCAGCATCAAACCAGACAATCTCATTCTACAGACCAAACAACCATCTAGTTAACAAATATAGTTCCCTGAGGATGGATCAAGTTACTTATAGTGCACCATCCAACTGAGCTCCCTATGACAGTGTAGTTAAGACCATCACCAACTAACTACCTACCAGCTGAACAAGATAGTGGATCATTACCTCAGATGATGCAATGATTACAACTGAAAACAAATACTGGTAGACTGGAATATGGGTTACAATGCTGGTAATGCAAGAAATGTGTAATGCAGCAGCAGTTTTTCTCCTGGTGGTGACAGCAAGAGGTAACTGCACTAACTAACTAACTGTAGTAATGACAATGGAGCAGCCAGACCTATGATTGGACAGATGCTTAGTAAGAGGAATTCAATATGACCAATGACAAACAAGAGAAGGCAAGGTTGTTGAGACTACTGTGGTGCCAAGACTTGTCACTTCTCAGCCTCCAGTGGTAGAATAATTGTAGCCTCTAAGCCCCCCCCCTGAATAAGGTCTAAAGTTTTGAGGTCATGATTTCATTTCTTGCTTAGTACACATACCAGCTGGCTATGTCTAGGGTTAACCTGGGTCATCAAACTACAGACTTAATGGTGGGTACAATATGTGAGTCTCCTTGGACAAGGGTGAGGTTATAAAATTACACATCAAAATACCCGTTAAGAAATGCACCTGGTAAAGTGGTTCCTCCAACTATTTAATACCAAGTGCAAGTCAAGGAACAATGGGTCCAGTCATCAATTTGCAGTGTTGTAAGCACTCAGAGTCATTGGTGAGGAAGGCACACACTGACACACTGTTCCCACCTGCACTGCCTAGGCCCAAGTCCCAATCATCACCCTGCTGCTCTTCCTCACCCTCCTGACCTGCCACCTGGCCTTCATTATTATCCGCCGACGAGGTCTGACCCATGGCCGCTGATGGGGTCTGACCCACGGCCGCTGATGGGGTCTGACCCACGGCTGCTGATGGGGTCTGACCCAAGGCTGCCGATGGGGTCTGACCCAAGGCCGCCGATGGGGTCTGACCCACGGCCGCCGATGGGGTCTGATCCACGGCTGCCGATGGGTTCTGACCCACGGCTGCCGATGGGTTCTGACCCACGGCTGCCGATGGGTTCTGACCCACGACTGCCGATGGGTTCTGACCCACGGCTGCCGATGGGTTCTGACCCACGGCTGCCGATGGGGTTTGACCCACGGCCGCCGATGGGGTCTGACCCACGGCCGCCGACGGGGTCTGACCCACGGCTGCCGACAGGCTCTGACCCATGGCTGCCGATGACGAGCTGCTCCGACGCACTCCCGGCAGTTGAATTCCGCTGAAGTCAATCTGGCCAATTTCTGTTCCAAACCAAATTTAGGGTACAACACATAAGCTGCCATGTTCCAGTGTCTGGACTCTGAAGTAAACATTAAATCAATGCATCTTTTTTTTATAGCAAACTTATTATTTAGTAAGAACATTCATGAGGGAAGTATTATGGTTGTTGTCTGACAGTTTATAAATGGGAAACTTACTCCTAAATCAAGCAGGAGAGAGAGTGTAATCTCACACTGTCTATCAGGGAACAAATAACTGCTGTCCCTCAAAACCACAAATGTCAGGAGAAAATATATAAATAATTTTCAAATAAACAAAAGAGCAATGATACAAATCTGTTTTATACCATCAACTTAATTTAAATTGACACTTAAACCTCTTCACTGTCTTATAAGGCTGATGAATTATTAACATGGCTTTGGTTTGTTAGATGACAGCATCACTCAAGCGTTAGAACAAGCACTCCAGTCCCTCCTGCAAGTTTCTTACGACATCTTCCCATTCATTAAGGTTAGCTCTTCACCTTACATTACCCATTCTTGACCACTACTCCCCCAAAGCTGACCTTATCCATTCTACATCCCAAACAATGAACAAAATCTTCCTTTATTCACAGCTTCCAGGCCATCTCGATCCAAGCAAATACTACTACGATAATTTAATCCCATCTATTCCTCACACATAAAACTTTTTGCACTCTTGGATGCATTCAACTTCAAGTCCACTTCCTTCATATTATGCCAAATTAATTAACCATTCTCCTCAAACAGCTTACATGGATGAAATGTTATCATCTAACATCAATGCTGTGTCACCTTGGTACAGCATTACCCAACAGTGCCCGATCCTCATCCTTTACACAGTTCCAAATATAGCTACATGTACCCTGAGAGGCTAGGGCAGTGAGGAATTGTAATTTTCAAGGGACAGGACAAAATGATCAGTGTTAGCAAGTCTGTACCTAATTCTTGTCCCTGTACTGTGTTAGACCTCTAAAATGAAGTTCATTCACTATTGATAAAAAAAAAGAAAAGAAAATACCCAATTTATAATTTCAGATTAATATTGAGCCAAAAGAAACAAGTAAGAAAAGATAGGGAAAATAACACCAATTCTACAGTTTGTATGAGTGAAGTATTACAGACCTCAAACTCATGACATTCCCTGGTAGTATTTATGTAGCTACACGCAATAATAATAAAATAATAAGATGATAGTAAACAAATGAAAACAATCACCCATTTGCTCTTCCTATCTATGACCAACATAATCTTTCCTGAATACAGACCCGGTATATACAGTACAGTACACACTTAAGTCAACATTTGTACCACACTCTTTATGTACACAATTATAAAAGCAAATGTACGAGCTTTCTAAAACAAACTTATGGTCTGCTTAATGCTAAGACAACATTCACACAATACTGTAGTCCACTGCTCTGCCTACCCCACCACAGGCAAGCTACATGTAACTCTCTCCTTCAATTAATATGCTGCCTTCAGCCTTATGTACAAGCCCGTGTGGTAAAGCGCACTTCATATGCTCATTCATTCCAAATAAAATTACTTTAGCGATATCTTCAGTACCTGAGGGGAGAGATCGCTGCGGCCTCCTCTGCTGCGCCGGCTGCTGTTGTGCCATGCCGGTTCTGCAGATCATTATAATATCTCCGTCCTTCACGCCAAAATCCTTTAGGCTTTTCTGGTTGTCTGTGAGCTGCCGAGCGTTGAACAACACCATCATTTCCGCTACGGGGATCCCAACCTGTGTAAAATACAGTACACTACGATGCATTCCAACATGAAATGAATATCGAGTTTGATCACATAAAGATTAGATCCACAGCTTATTTCAACTATTAGACTAAGTGCTGTAATGCTAATTTGACCTGACCTAACCCCACCAGGTAGTAAGAGGGGGTTTAATCATCATGTGAAGAGCTGGGGTTCATCTTCAAGTGATCCATTTAGCCTAAGTTTAAACTACAAATATAAGGTTAATTTCCCACAATTTTATTCCTATATTAGGTTAATATGGAGGACTACACAGCAGCTCCCCCCCCCGTCTCAGTAACAGTAAGTTCGCACTCGGCAAGTGTTAAGATATGCTAGGTTAGTTTAAGGTTAGGTTAGGTTAACTTGAACTTTTAAATAAACACTACTTAACACATTTGCAATGTCCATTATTAAACACAGTGAAATTACCGCATTTTAAAATAAATTTTCAAAGAAAAATCAGCGACTGTGAAGTTGTAAATAATTACTGTATATTATTTTTTATAAGAAACTTCAACAAGGTTACGCCTGTGTTCACAAGTTAAGAAATAAACAATAATCTCACTGTGCGTGTTTGGTACGATTTATAGTGGATTGAATTTGCTCATTTTTTTTCTAGTGACGCTGTTTGGACGATAGTAAGTAAGAAAATCAAAACAACAATGCCCAGGTTAGCAAGTTAGGCAAGGTGGTAAAATTATCATTTTGGTCATGCATCTATTTGGAAGTCATTCGAAACACACACACACTAAAAAACAATGGAAAAACATAATTTCAACCTAACTTAACCTAAATTTAAAATCCTAAAATTCGCTGCATGACAAAAACTATAACATTACCAGTAAGGTTAAGTGAGGTTAGGTTCTACGCATTCTCACTTCCATTGTCGTGTTCAATATCATGCAAATAGTATCTAAAAAAAATTCTGGTTCAATTCCATAAGTTATTTATGATGCTAACTGTCTCCTTCACCTTTACCAACAAAATATGGTTAATATATAGGACTAACCCGCCAGGGCTGCATAGCGCCGACGCGGCCGTATCGTCTTCCGTCCAGAAAATGCCTCAAATTTCACCATATCATAGTAAGTTATTTCTGTTTAATTTACCGGGGAAGTTAGGTAAGGTTAGGTTAGGTTAGGTTAGGTTAGGTTAGGTTAGGTTAGGTAAGGTAAGGTTAGGTAAAGTTTGGTCTTTTCTCCGTACCCACAAATATTAAGCAGCGTTTATTTTAGAAATATCCCTTTTTAATGTATTTCCACAAACAACTGTCCACTATAATATAACAATAAAAAACCCAGAGTTTCTATAATTGTTTTTAATAAATTTCGATAGCGGATTAGTCCTATATAATTACCCAAAATATCATAAATTAAATTTTCCCTCCCCCCCAAAAAAACAGAAATGCTCTTAAATACACATATTCCATTACCTTCCCATATAATAACTAGATAGACAAAGTTAAATAGATAAATATTCACACAATAAACATTCTTACAGGAGTACACATGTATATAGAAGTTAATGAACAGGAAATCAAATTAACAAAGAAAAAATTCCAAAAGCTTGTTAAATACAGAAATATCATATTATAAATGTAAAAAACCTTCTTAAATATCCTCAGTCCTTTGTTAGATAGAGAAAAAGTTACCTATGACGCATATAATACATAAGACACACATAAAAGTTAACCCCACATTACTTCCCTCCTCCTTCTCTCACCTCCATTTCACATAAAGCTTTAAAATTCTCAAGTTCTAAATCATCAGCAACTTCAAGTGGTATTATGTTGGTATCGGTATTCACAGATATACGCATTGTGGTAGGTGTTATATGTGGTAGAGTGAAGAGACAGTAATGACGCCACTCCCTTCCCCCTGGTCAGCCAACACTACTGAACACCGAAAACAACTCTAGTATACTCTTAAACTTAAATTTTTTGTATAAACTTTAATATATATTTTTTGAGTCTTATTACATATCTAGATGATTTCAATCTTAAAATTTTATATATATGTATCTATTGTGGATTTAAAATGATTAGAATAAGATACTGAACAATATAAATATTTGATACTGTTCTTTTCTTTTATACACAAAATTACTCATAACTTTTATATATATAGAATAAAATAGTAATATTTAATTATATTTATGTAATTATAATAAGTTTACACATTATCACTGAGTCATTTTACGCACTCTAATTGCTTTGTTCTGGGTGTATTGTACCCGACCCTCAGAAATAAACTGTAAATTATTATTAGTACTTGTATCATTATTATTAAAAGTGAACTCATTAGGTTATTAAATACATATCCAGTATAAAGTGGATTAGTACAATAGATAATATAACACAATGATGATAATATTAAAAAAAAAATGCGTACATCTTCCTTTATACAAGTTTAGTCTCTAACTTAGCCTAACCTACTCACAGCAATATTATTTAACGTCCATTAAATACGATACCACCTATAAGCCACATTATTAACCGGACTACAGATATATTTGATAATATTCTGTAATATCGACAATTTATACCGAGATTTTGTCAAGGCTTTCGACAGTGTACCCCATGAAGGGCTGAAAATTAAACTGGAAGGGTACGGGATTCGGGGAAATGACCTAGCGTGGATAGAAGACTTTCTCCATGACCACAAGCAGTGTGTGGTGATTAATGGCACGAAATCATCATGTGTACCCGTCACAAGAGGGGTACCACAGGGCAGTGTACTGGGCCCGCTGTTGTTTGTTTGTTTCATAAATGACATGCCTGACGTTGTACATTCCTCCATACAAATGTTTGCGGATGATGCCAAGTTATTTCGGGAAATTAAGAACCAATGTGAAAAGGACCTAGGTGTGTATGTTGATAATGAGCTGAAGTTCTCGGGCCATTGCGAGAAGGTGAATCAAGCAACTAAATTATTAGGTCTTATAAGATCGTTCAGGTATGTAGACGGTCCGTCCCTCGTATCGATCTTCAAGAGTGAAGTGCTTCCCCGCCTGGAGTAATGTCACCCCGTCTGGTCCCCGAGATGTACTAGGGACTGTCAGTTGATTGAAAATGTTCAAAGGAGGGCCACCAGACTGGTGCCTGCACTACGGTACCTCATCTATCCTCAGAGTTTATAGCACCTGAAATTGCCTAGCTTATACTACAGACGAACAAGGGGGGGGGACCTAATTAAGGTGTATAAACATTTCAAAGGGCACTACTCAGTCGAGTGTCCTTACCTGGAGCTGGCAGACGCTCGCCCCACAAGGGGTCACAGCTCAAGGTTGAAGAAGCAGCAAGTCCAGAAAACTGTGAGGGGTAACTTTTCGGAGTGAGAGTTGTGAACTCTTGGAACAATCTGCCAGTGTTTTGACGGCACCGAGTGTGAGCTCTTTTAAGACCAGACTTGATAAGCACTGGAGCAGGCTCAGATACATTCAGGAGTCAGTTCATGCCCAGTACTTGCCAACAGTGCGTAACAGAGACGTGATCGATCGCCCAAGCGAATAAAAGCAAAAAAGTAAAAGTAATATAGAGTGCATATAAATATTACTTCAGGTACCCCTAAATATTTTCTTTCGTGATATTATCAAAGAAAACTGCCTATTACATGGCTAACTATAAAGGTTTACAGTTTACTGTACTAATAATACGTGTTTGTCATTGTTTGTCTTGCTGAGCATTATCTTCAGTTGTATTCTATCATTTTCCTTTTATATTTTATTCACTCGTCAGGTCACCTATCGTCAGTCAGTTAGTTCTGTTACACACCGTTGGTAAGAGGTGTACCTGTAGTGCTTCATGTTAACCCTGTAGTTAACGAGTGTGAAAGAGAATTGTAGAATTTTTATCATGCTTTATTGAACACAACACGAGTACACGTCATTGAGGCAAATAAATTAGTCAACTTAAATAGTTGTTAAGTCAGGTAAATCCGGCTGGTATAGTGGAGAGGCAGCTGTAGGTGAGGCGAGAAGCTGATAAGTGATAACTTAACCAAAGAACCAGAGGAAGGTGATAGAGGAGCCGGTGGGGACGGTGAGAGTCGTGCTCCAGCACCTGGCGATGACGCAGAAGAGGCAGCGTCTGAATGTCACGTTCACCTGTCGCTTCCTCACCTCCACCTCCTTCACCAGTTTGAAACACTACTAAGAGTACACCAACCAGATATTG